GTCTACAAGAGCTAGTTCCAGGACAGCCTCCAAAGCCACAGAGAAACCCTGTCTCAAAAAACCAAAAACAAAAAACAAAAAAAAAAAAAAAAAAAAAAGGAAGGAAGGAAGGAAAAAGAAAGAAATTCAGGTTTGACTGAGGAAGACCATCTGAAAAATCTCCCACTGATAGCCCACATGATCCAACATTACACAGTGCCTCTGCTACAATTTCCTCTGAGTTCTACATCCAACATAGTTTCAAGGCTGCTGGCTGAGATGATCCAGCCTCTAAGTCAGGACTTGACCATAATTCTAAATTTTTTTCAGGGTCCCTCAATATCACCAAAGCCAACCAATTAACAGGCTAGAGAACTATCCCCAAATTCCCAAAATATTGTTTATAAAATGTTTGTTTCCATTTAAGGGGGATTGGTTACAAATTGTTATTGGTCATAGTCAATCTCTTTCCAAAAGAGATATGATATAAAAATGATAGAAGGGAAGTATAGATTATTGAATCCACTTTAATTAAAAAAACCTGTTAATCTCAAAATATTTTACATTAGTATGGATTTTAGTTTACTGATATAAATTTAAAGTTACTTTGTTATACTGATATATATTTCTAATCTTGTAATGTATATTAAGAAATACAGATTAATAATCATTTACAATATTCAAACTTAAGGTCATGTTAGATTTTCTAGATATACAAAGATATATTTCAGATACATAGGTATTCTTCAAACATTTCAAAGACCTACAGAATATGACACTAAAATGTTTTAATAACTTAAGACTTTTGATGACAGTAAGACATGCCTGCTCGCGGCAGCACCAATGTACTCCAGAGAAGATGATGGGCATCAAAGAAACTCTGTAGAGAGGTTAGTTTCTTTATGGCAAAAGGTAGGCATGTGAACAAAGAAACTACACTTGCTTCTCCAAACTGAACCAGTAGGACACAAGAAAGGCACTGCCAAGCTTTGCCAAGACAGGGTAGGACAGTCCTTCAAAATTCCCTGCTTCATAGGAAAGTCTATCAGATATTCTACAGGCCTTGGGTGACTGTTTAGGCAGTCAGCTGCTTCTGTCATTACTCATATTTTTCTGGAATTCATTTGTCTGCACTTTCTGCTTACTCAGATAATATTATTTCCTTCTCAGGTCTTTGGTGGAGTTGAAGACTAGGTTTTTATTATTATAGTTTTTCTTAGTTATGACAAAAAGACAAATCAGATATAAAACTTTAGACTCATCAAGACAGATAATAAAATAATTTCTCTAATTTTTGTCAAATACAAACAGACTAGATATTGTAAATGTAATTCTTACTTGATTAACTGTCTTACATGTAAATTTTACTATATTAAAGTTAAAGCCTTCCTTTTTGATTAGACAGAAAATGGGAAATGCTGAGAGAAGATCCTTCCATATGCTGTGAAGTTGTATTGCTATCATTGATTAAATAATAAGGCTGATTTGGCCTATAGTCAGGTAGAAAAAAGCTAGGTAAGAAAGCCAAAGGGGTAAAGAAGGAGAAAGAAAGGCAGAGTCAAGAGAGATGTGAGTCAGACACCCAAGAAGCAAGATGCCAGAGAACTGGTAAAACCACATCCACATGGCAATTCATAGATTAATAGAAATGGGTTCATTTGAATGTAAGAGCTAGTTACTAATAAGCCTGAGCCAATACGCCAAACATTTTGCAATTAATATTAAGCCTCTGGGTGATTACTTAAAAACAGCTATGGGGCTGGGTGAGACAAAGAAATCTCCATTTACAATGTCACATTTTAGGTTTGTTTTCTCTATAATTATATTCATCATGTTTTTTAAATCAGATACACCATTACCTTCAGAAAGAGCTATTTTATAAACAGTTTGTTCAAATCTTGAATTGGCTTTACTGTTTTTTCCCTTCTTTTTGGGGGCTGGGTGGGGCAGCGTTTGTTTCAACACAGGGTTTCTCTCTATATATGTTGTCCTGACTGTCCTGGAGCTTGTCCTATCGGTCAGGTGGCCTTAAACTCCACAGATCCACCTGCTTCTGCCTCCTCAGTGCTGGAATTAAATGCAGGTGCTACTACCACCCAACTGTTTTGTATTTACATGGTATTAAGCAATTTAATTCATCTGTTAATTGTATCCTCTTAATAGATTTTTATCAGAACTTTTACATTTTAAAGTTACTGGTAAAATAACCATAATTATTTCACATCTCCGTCATCTACAGAGACCCTCTTTCATAGTTATAAATCAATTAGTAGCCAGAGTCTGTGTTCTCAGCAAAGAAAGCTTATCTCAGCTACAAGGCACAGGAGTCATCAGGTATTTAAAACTATTGACATGTCAAAGAATAGACTCTTGGGCACAGGCTTCCAGTGGTATCATTAGGACAATTGGAGAACTTCCAGATCATTCCAGTAGACTGAGTCAGAATTTCCAGAACTCTTTTTAGTAGAGAAGCAGACTGCTAACATCTAAACCAGTAAAATAAAAATTAATATACAGGACTGAATAAGCTGAGGAGGAATGACTATAGTTACTTGTCCAAAATATTCATTTATTTTCTAATATATAAAAGAAGCCCATTATCTTTCTCTGTAGGCTATTTATAACCCTTCAGTTTGTAGCCTCAATTCTTGAGTAATGAAACACTGATAAATCACTCCAACTAGGATTGAGAAAGGCTTCCTAAGTCTCCTCACTTTTCAAAGCAATATAGTTAGTTATCTGAATAGGAATTAAAAAGTCTCTCTCTCTCTTTCTCTCTCTCTCTCAAATAACTGTAAACAGTTTTGCAAGTGAGAATTTGCCTCTAATGTCACATTTCAGAATGATATTTGTTCAATCAGGTTTAAAAAGACATTTTAAAGGAGGTACAGATAATTCTGTGTGACCAGTACAAATAAAATCTTCCCAGGAAAACTGGCCTGGCACTTGACTTATGGAGTCAAATCCTAACAGCAAGTATGGAAAATCTTTTCCTGGAATGGCCAGGGCTTGTATCTGAGACCATGAAAGAAAACGAATCCACCAATCCAATGGAAAATTCCTTAGAGGCTTCCTATCCTCAAAATAGAAATAATGGAAGCCTTCAAATTTTCATGAGATTTTTTTAAAGTAAAAATTTTACTTATTTTCATTGATGTGTATGTGCCTGATTGTCATCTGTGCACCATGTGCATGCACGAACCCTCAGAGGACACACAAGTGTCAGGTCCTCTGAGAGTACAGTTACAAGTGTTGGTGAGCCACCTGATGTGGGTGCTGGGAACTGCAGTCTTCTTGCTAGAGCAGCAAGTGCTCTTATCACTAACCAACCAATCTGAGATTTGTTATGAGTTAAAACAACATTAAAAGGAATATGGTTAAGAACAGGTAAAAGGAGGGGACAAAATAAGAAGTAAAGGGAGGAGAGGATAGAATAAAATTTGAACACTAGGTATTTCCAAAGAAAGGCTATATGTTGAGAAAACATTTTTCTATTTGATTGTAGTCTTTTATTGCATTTAAACTAGTTCTTATAACTAACAAGTTACCTATAACTGATGGCAATACAAAATATTTTGTCTATCTACATGCAAATAAATTCTGTAAAGATCCAGTTACTTCCTGTTTTCCACAGAAAACCCCAGTTTGCAAAGATTTGATAAAATCTTTTCTTTAATCCATGTAAACCATACTTCTTTGAACTGTTACATCTGTCTGCTTACCTTACTAATAGTTTAAAATAATTAACATGTTTTTTAAAAACAGTATTTTTATTCATATTTTACTTATATCTATCAAGTAATTCGATTTAAAGTACACATTTTAGGGTTCTAACTTTACTGGTTTTTGTTGTTGTTGTTATTGTTGTTTTTTTGTTTGTTTGTTTGATACAGAGTTTCTCTGTGTAGCTTTTTGGAGCACGTCCTGGAACTCACTTTGTAGACCAGGCTGGCCCTATCGCACAGAGATCCACCTGCCTCTGCCTCCTGAGTGCTGGGATTAAAGGCATGTGTCACCACCACCCAGCCTTTTCTAGCTTCTTTACTGAAAATGCTAAGCAGTACTTTTGCCTGTGACTAAACACTGCCTTAAAAGCCCTGTCCAGTTCTATGTAAAGAAATAAAAATAAAAAAAATAAAAAAGGTTCCATGAAGCTTCGATTATCTGAGGAAATGACCAGGCATAGAGATAAGGTAGTCATTCACTTCAATTCATATAAGAAAATCAAAGTGCAGAAATTACAGTTCCTACTTAAAGCTACTTCACCTCAAGGTAGGAAGAAGCAGGAATAAGGGTCACAGGCAGAAAATGTTAAATGGGAGTGATAGCTGTAGTGGGATATTCCCTTTGGCTCCTTCTATGGCACTGACCACGCCCATTGGGGGTGGAGCCAGGGGCAGAGGTGACCTGTGGAACTAGGTTTGAGGAGCTGGGGAAAGCTCTCTTGCTGGAAGGACACAGAGAGGAGAGCATCCGGTGGAATCTGCTGGTGTTCATCTGTCTAGGTTGTAAGTTATTTCTCCCTGAATAAACATCTATTCGGCCTATTTGTTTATCCTGATCCTTATTAAACTGCAATAGACAGCCTCATTTCTTTTAAAATAATTAAATCTAGTACTAGGGTTATTATATCAAAAAGAAGAGGGAAAGACCTTTTTCTGATTATTATTAACTTAAAATGCTTGGAGTAGCTTAACTTTCTTTGCTAATGTTTAAGATACTTTGTTTTAAAAATAGAGTATCTCTATCAGTAAAATTATATCTCTCCTTTTCTTTCTTCCCTAAAACTTTCTTCACTTGTTGGGCTTTGATTTCATTTAAGAGTGTGAGTGTGTGTGTGTGTGTGTGTGTGTGTGTGTGTGTGTGTGTGTGTGTGTTGGAGGTGACTGCCTTTACCTAAATGAGCAATCTTGCTAACTCAGTTTCATTTAATATTAAGAAATGGAAAATCTCAGAGAGCTTCCAAATAAAGAAAAAAGGGGAAAAGAATGACATATAAAAAATAACCATATACGGGCTGGCGAGGCAGACAACATGGTGGCGTCCTTGATGGGCTCGCTGCTGCGGACTTTCCGGCAGGCAGTTCCTCCATCAACATCAAGTCAAGTTCGAGGTTATTATGTAGACTGGAAAATGTTGCGTGATGTGAAGAGACGAAAAATTGCTTATGAATATGCAGATGAGAGACTTCGGATCAATTCGCTCAGAAAGAATACCATTTTGCCAAAAGACCTTCAGGAAATAGCTAGTGAAGAAATTGCTGCCCTTCCACGGGATAGCTGTCCTGTGAGAATCAGAAATCGGTGTGTTATGACATCCCGTCCACGTGGTGTAATCCGTCGTTGGAGGCTTAGTCGAATTGTGTTCCGCCACTTAGCTGACCATAGACTACTTTCTGGAGTTCAGCGAGCAATGTGGTAAATCAGCTTCAGAACCTACTCAGCTGCCCAAGAAGTCAATTCTGGCTAAAAGATCAAACCCTAGTTTTTATAGGGTCTAGTTTGTTTAATCTACATGATACTGTCTACAGTTAAATTGTTTTTAGGTTTTTAAATGAAGAAATGCAATATACATATTACTCCCATACTGGTTTAAGAGAGGAATAAAAATATTTTCTGTGGGAGAATGGTGTTTTCCTTCAAGTTTGATGTTTAGTAAAATAACTTGTTTTTTAATAGTGGTTTGACAAAACAGTTATAGATGTCCATCTAATTGACTAGTTGCCTTTCTATGGCATTGTACCCATCAGCTTGCTTCCCTGGCCTGCAGTTACTCTCACTTTTGGAATAACAATAGAGGAAGAGTTAAAGAGGGTATCTTAGATCATGTTTAGTGTTAACTTTGTGTGATGGTGAATAAAAGGACTGCTAACTTAAAAAAAAAAAATAACCATATACATACATACATGCTGAAAAGCCACCATTTCTCCTGCATAATCACTCAAGACATCCCTTCAACTGACTCCTAGTGGGGATCCTGACTTCACCAGCTTTGAGAAGATTCAGGATACATGGGAAATAAAACCAACTGTAAAACTGAGTTTAAATAGAGGGGCTAAGAGAGGTGGTCAGTGGTTAAGAGCACTGGCTCCTATTCCAAAGAACCCAGATTCTGTTCCTAGCTTCAACAACTCTAGTTTCAGTGAGATCTGAAATCGTCTTCTGGCCTCCTTTTTGGCACTTCATTTCAGAGAATAGGAAACTAAGATTTAATTAAAAATGAAGTCATCTATCTAAGTTTATAAAGTCTATTCTGTGATAGAGTCAAGACTGAATCCCAGTTCTGACTTGTAGCCAGAGTTCCTTTACATTAAACTCTACTAAGCTTTTGTAGGAGGAGGAGGAGAAGGAGAAGGAGGAGGAGGAGGAGAAGCAAACAAAACATCATTCAGGAACAAGTTAAATACAAAAGTACTAATACAAGTAAAATACTCAAATAATAGTGACAAGACTACCTGTTTCACACAATAAAATATACAGAAGTATATTGGGGACATGGAGACAAGTGGATTGAGGTCAGTGGGGTAAACAACAGAGAGTGGGGCAGGCCAAGCATGCTCATGTCACCCACAGGTGGCAAAAGCCCTCAAAACAAGGTTTTCAAATACAAACAAAAAGAGGAGGAGGAGAAAATTTGAAGAGCCAAAAGCCAAGGCCATGGGGGAGGACACCTAGGTCACAAACAGAATTAAGAAATCTGGCAATAAGTTGTTCCTTGTGATGGTGACCCTCTTCCATTCCTACTTAAACACACAGATTCTCTGCCATTAACATCTTTTACCACCTACAGGTGGAATGAGGTGTTGCCATGGAGCTTGTTGTACATTTTAATAAACTTTTGTTTAAAAAAAAAAAATAAGAAACTGGTTGCTATCTATAGTTCTCATTCAGTCACTCCTACCTCAACTCCTCAACTGTGAATAGTAGGCCAGAGCCTACTATTCCATCTTTGTTATAATCTGACTTCTGTATCACCTTGAATTGAAACAATTCATTTAAATGGCAGGGGAGGAAAGGCATATGATGCAGTGTATGGGGGGGGGGGAATAGACAGACAGACAGACAGACAGACAGACACACACACACACACACACACACACACACACAGGCCAACAAATGGTTCAAAAGGTAAAGAAAGGCATTTGCATTGACCCTAATAACCTCAGTTCAAGCCTTAGATAGAGAAAATGGGTTCCTGCTAGTTGACTTCTGATTGCACATATATGGTAGCATAAGCATGTTCATCCACACATACACTAAATCTCTTTAGCATACTTAATAAACAAACAATACTATTGTACCCACCTCATATACATAAATAGCTCATGTTTTCATAAGGAAAAGTTTCAAAGCCATTGTTTTAATAGTCACCAATGTGTTCTCACAGGTGTGTATGTACAGGCACGCATGTTTGTGTGTGAATACACGTATGTCACAACAAGTGTGAAGGTCAAGAGGGCAACCTCCAGTGTTTGACACTGTCTCTCTGTTGCTTACCTGTACCTGCTCAGCTAGCTAGTCCTTATTTTTTTAGGGATTCTCTTACCTTCACCTCCCATCTCCCAATAAGAACACTGAGATACATATATGTGGTACCAAGCCACCTTTAGGTGAGTTTGGGGGATTTGGTCCAGGTCCTCCTGCTTGTACATCAAGCATACTGTCCACTAAGACATATACTCAGCCTGGTGTTTTCCAAATTTTGACCCTTACTCAGTCAATGGCCATTAGAAACACAGCAGGATAACTAATATTCAACAGGCTGACCTACCACATGAGTCATAGGGGAGCTCCACCTGGCAAGGCTATGGAGTCAATGGCTGTGAAAATCAGTTGTTCCTGTCTGTAATTTCTCTCATGAGTCACTTCATCTCTTCCCTAAGAATAGCTTTGGGTGTTTCCAAAGCTTGAGTGCATTTATATCATGAAAATATTCCATCTTCTGAGTATATTAATCTGTGGGAAGTCAGGAGGATGACTTTTCATTTGGCTGTATAACCTTGATATATAGAATATATTTCTGGGAGCCTTAAATTCTCAAAAAGGCCCCAGAGAAAGGAATTCCTTCCTTGTCACTCAGGCATCAACAGTAAAGAATTTCCACTGCTTACCCTGAGGCTAGAAGCAGCAGCCTCTGGATTTTACACTACATACCCTTAGTTTTTCCCATTGATAGAGTGCTGAGATGTTCCCTTTAATCAACTAACATTTGACAAAAATGCTAATGCAGACCAAATGCCACCTGTTTTCCTTCCACAGCTTATGCAGCTTGCATCTTACAATGGGGCTTACATAATCAAAGCAACTTTGGAAGAAAGCAGAAGAAATGTTTGGAGAGCGAGTATCAATGCTGTGCTTTCTTCCCCTTTTTTTCTACGCTTATCAACTACAAACTTCTAGCTTACCTGGCCACACAAATGTAGTTTTACGTACTAACATCCCTTTTCCCTTCATTGAAATCATAGCCCCTTACTCCATTAACCCTTTTTCCTGCCTCCTAAGTTTTTGCCTGACGTTTACAAGTCACATCCCCTCGGAGACATCAGGTGCCCGCTTTGTCATATCCTTGAACTTGCCAGAGAATTGCTAATTGTGTTTGTGTGAGTATATAAACTAGAAACCTTGTGGGATCTGGGAGAATTCTGGAAGAATAAAGAGACACATTGAGAAAAATACGTGTATGAACTGATTCATTCATCCTCAGATACCCTTAGCAATATTCCATGCTTGCTTAGCATCCTGGGAGGACACCAGGGCTGGAACTTGGAGGTTCTTGATATTAGTCAATTATAGAAGATGTTGGTATGAGTGTAAATTAGGAAAAGGTGAATCAAGTAACAACCGACAGGCCTTAGATTGGAAATTCTAATTCAGTAAATTCATATTCTACCTTTTCTTCCTCTGTATTGCCAGAAATGGAACCTCATGCATGAGATTCAAACAAGCTAAGCACATACTCTGCTGCCACCGAGTTACTACTTCTCAAACACTAATTTATGCTTTTTAATACATATTCCACAGATCCTAATTAGCCAAATCAGCAATGAGTCCCCAAACATTCTTAGGAAAAAAAGTACGCAAACAACACATAAGAAATTAAAATCCAAGGACAAAGACTACTTTCCAATTTCCACTAACCTTGAATCCAGAATAAAATAAAGAATAATAATAAACAGGAACCTGTTTTAATCTACTCTCTAAATGTGGCAACCTTTGCTTCAACTTATCAGAAGAACCATACTCTGTGGTGATATCTTGTTTGTACAAATAAAGCATGACTTAAGATCAGAGGGTGGAGCTTGCCACTAGCTAGCTAACAGATAGACAGGAACTCGGTCTCTTTTTAGTGGGAGGTTATCGAGATAAAAGGTGGCTGTGGCTTGCTCCTATATCTCTCTGATCTTTCAGCTTTTACCCTGACATCTGACTCTAGGCTTTTATTATTAAGACCTATTAGAACTTGTGCTACAATTCACCATAACTGTGTTGTGGAATACAGACACAAAGAATTTCAGATTAATTCTCTAACATTGTTAGTTTAGTAAGTCTACTAAAAGTAAATCCCAAAATAAGAATATAATTGTGATGGATATGTGATAGCACCTCTACCAAACTGTTAGGCAAAATTTGGGCCAGAAAAGTGGACTAAGGACAAAGAGGTTACTGAGGAAAAAAGTTTTTGACCTAATGGGAAGCATAGCAGTAAACAAGATTTTGCACATAAGCATACACGATGTCTGTATTCCACGTGTGTGCTTGAGTGTGCCTGTTGCCTGTGAAGGTCAGAAGAGGGCATCATATATCCCTTGGAATGGAGTTATGGGCGTCTGTAAGACATCATGTGGGTCCTGGGAACGGAACACAGGAAATGAGCCATCTATCTTTCCAGCACCCCCCAAAATAAGACTCTTGAGTGAGATTTCTACAATGGATACTAACAATAGGTTCTTAAGGACAGTTCCCAATCAGGAGATCATCATAGAAAAAAATCATAATGGTAAGAACCATCTACTTACAAGCTGCCTCTCCTTGGAAGGCTCAATTCCTTCTGAAAAACAAAACACATCAATAAGTTAGACAAAAGAAAAGTGCCCATCTGAATCCTATGAACCTGCCTAAATGGCCTAAGAAATGTATAGCATCATCTTAATAATAGCACACTAATGCTTCAATGTAGTAGTCTCTTCCTTTGCCTCTAAATTTGATGAAAGTTGGGCATGGTGGTGGAAGACTTTAACCCTAGCACTCAGAAGGCATAGACATGCAGATCTCTCTGAGTACCAAGCCAGCCAGATCTATACTCCAATGTCTATTGTCCCTCACTGCAGCTGTTTCAAAAGCAGCAAAAGAAGATGAAAGTCAGGTTTTACCATAAGACCTACATCTGAACCACTTTTCATGCTTAACAGTCAACCCCTATACCAGATGCAGGCTCCTCTAGAAAAGCTGCTCACATGCAATCTTCAGGCATCTTTTTACAACTAAATGTATAGATGTGCAGTATATGAATTTTT